ATGGTAGGTATTTATATTGTAATTATGCTACAATAAATACTTACAATAAAAGAAAGGTTTATAAATAAAATGTGCATTTTAAACATATTATTTTTGTACCACGCTAAAAGATATTATATATTTAGCTGGTCACCCTACTCGGCATGGAGGCTTATTATCAGTGGACCGAGAAATCCAGCGTCAAAACGGGAATCGCGAAGGCACTGTTGCAGTTTTTTACCTTACAGATTTGTGCAAAACACATTACCATCATTTTATCCTCATTTTGACGAACGTACCATCTTTATGCCGAATAATAAGCGCTTGTGCCGAAAAAACTGTTTTTAAATGAGCTACTTTCTTCATGATTTTGTCTTGGTTCGTCCCTAACCATATTTACATCAGACCACTCTAAAAGTATGAAAATCGCTCCACGAGTTTAGGAGTTATAAATGCAATTGTTCATCGTACCCTTGGTTTAAAAAAGCTATATATAATGGTACGTAAAAAGTGCTTTTATCACAATGTAGTACATTGTGTATTAAGGGCGGTAAATAAGAAATTACTAACGAGAGTCTGTTAGAAGCCCGAAGCCGAAGGTTGAGGGCTTCACTGACTCGAGTTTTGTAATTTATTACCGCCCGTGCTGCATGCAACGTTTTTCATAAATAAATATAATGATAATATGAACAAATATCGCTTTACAACACAACAATTACAGACTTGCAAATGCAGGGATTTTTTTTATCTGTGCAGATAGCCAGCTGTTCTTCCGTAGATAATAATACAACTCGAGATAAAATGTTGTAAAAAAGGCAAAAACGCAATACAGCCATGACGGTAAATTTAAAAAATAAATAATTTCAAAATATTATGAATGCTGCAGGATTCGCTCTGGACCTTTTGGAGGGAAAAGTGTCGTTTTTGTTTTGACTTTCAATTATTTTGTGAAATCTAGTTTAAAGTGGAATAGGATAGTGCTATTGTGCCTTAATCTAAGATTAAAACGCGAAATTATACGAATCTCCAACTAAAATACCCGTATCGGCCCGTTTTAAGGAATCCCGAGTCAATCCAAGCACGCCGCCTCAAATTGCCTATCCTCTTTGGTGGCGGCCATATTAACAGAAACATAATTCAACTTCATGTACCAAAAAAGAATAATGTACCAAGACTTCGCTGTATGGTGTAAAACCTTTGCCTTTTCCTTTATGGACAGAAGAAAAAAAAATGAATGCTGCAGAATTTGAATTAAAAAAAATAATTTTCACAGAATAGCATATGTTTAGTTTTTTTCTTAGACAATTTTTTTCCATCCTCTTAAGGTTTTTTCAAACATTCAAGCGTAGATGAAATAATTCAGATTTTTCGAACATTATTAAAACTATTTGCTTGATGTTAACGTATAAAAGAAGAACACTGCAATTACATTTAAACAACTCCTAATGTAAAATTTAAAAAGTTATCAAGAAGCCCGTGGCAATTCAGCACAAAGACACTTTGCCTGCATGTTATGGCACCATTTACGAGCAAGTGTGGTGAAAATAATATGACTATACGAAACAATTTATATAGGGGTTCATGTGATATTATATAACTCTCCTATTTAAGCATAGAAAAGTCGTCGACTAGTTTCGTTCGTAGAATCTTGAAATCTCTCTCCTGGAAAGTTGTCATTTGGGAGATCTGGCTTTATTACAGGTTATTGGTATATAATTAAAAAATCATCAATCAATAAATCAATCTCACGTGATGGAAAATGACTGTGATGTCGACGATCAAGTATGCACCGTCGATGACGTATGCACAGGAAAGGCCCGTCATATCGTTCAGAGTATAAGTCTGCAGGTCGGAAATTCCACACCATAACCGTTCGCCATATAAATGTATGTAACATATATGTAACACTACGGTGCAATATCACCAGCCTATGATGATAATGATGGAAAGGGTAAGGCGAAATTAAATCGTGCAATTCCACCGCACAGTCTCCGTGATATACCCTATAGAATACCGATAAGTAGGCAACTATGCGGCGGTGTCAAAGGCTCTGCAGCTTCGTCTCTACTAAATCCGAGTCACCTATAAGACTAAGCATTGCAAATGGAACTACTTTTTCGGGTCCAAATAAATCGCGTATAATTATTTCAATGTAGAAAGAATGGTTCCTTTTAAAGTTTAATTTTACCTAAAAAATATAAAGGCTAATTGAGGACCTTATATTTTTGAGCCGGTTTATAAAAAGCATATGACACATAACGAAAGAAGATAGTTGCAATGTGATATAATATACCACTTTTCTCTGTTTTTCTTTTTTTATGATGTCAAGTGACGGGAAGAACAAGTCGTGCGCCTGGTGGAAAGCCACACGTCTATCCGTAACAGTTGCAGTACCACTCAGAGCTTTAAATCGTAAAGGTCTGTGGGACACTCCCACTGCGCCCGTCATCCTGAGACACAAGTTGACAAGTTCCATGTGCCTGTAATTTCACCAACACCCGTACCGTTTAAAACTGTAACCTAGTAATGCTTACATTACTGCTTTTCGGCTGAAATAGGTGGCAGTACTTCCCAGAACGAAATTCTTTTACAAGGAGCTCTACTGCTACTAAATGTTCTCTTTGATATACTTATGTTGCATCTGTAAATGTTAAGGGAAAAGGCCGCAGTGTGTGTAAAGTTAGCACTATCGTTATTTAAGCTCTTTAAGTTCTATAAGCTCGATTATTAGCTTATGTTGTGATTAACTATAGAGTTGGTAAAGTACGCAATTGGACATCGCCCATTTAGCATTAATAGCATGTACATTAATAAACCAAACACAGCTGTTAATAATCAGTCTTTGCAAACATTGGCAAGACGCTCTTTGCAAAATCGACATTGCCCGAAAGGTGTTTACTCCGCCGACAACGTTTTTGTGTACTATACTATTTTTCGTAACAGCAATTTCGATTCTGTCATTACAAGCAACGGGTTAAATACATAATATGTTTATGTTTAGGTTTAGCATAGGTTGTGAAGCGCATGAAGTGGAAACGGAAAATTCATTGCACGATATTTAAACATTTGCCTTTTAGAAATAAAAATATACCTACCCTCTAAAAGTAACGTAAGCTCAGAGAACCTTGACATATTTATTACGGAATATGGGAGAAAAAATTTCATTGAAATATCTCTAATAACAATCGAATGACATTGATTTTCCCGTAGATGGTCGTAGTAAATAAGAAAATTTTGTAATTTTTTTTATCGAGCGAAGTTTAATCAATTCTGTTACGGAACCTGTAGTTTCCTACCGGTATCTTCTGTTTTCATAATTATCAATTCAAAAAAAGATAATTTATATTTTCTCATGTCCAAAAATAAAACAATTTTCGCGTTGACGAAATACGTTAAAACGGATTTTGGGGTCTCCCTTCACCTTAACTATATCTTAGGTTTTATCATCTTTGCGGCTTAACTAAAGGCCCATTTAGATGGAGAGATTTTATTGCACGCTTCATGACGAAAAATCGTACGCGATTATCCTAAGCAATAATCGCCATAACGTTACCGTATCATAATGTTTACATTCAGGCGAGAACTAAAATCTCGCCTAAGATTATGTCATACGAGATTCGCAAACAACTTAATCGCCCCCTCGACTGTTTACACAGAAAAATATGTAGTAAGGACATTCTTGCTTACGAGTTTTCGACTTGTCTAAACACAATCTCGTATGACATTTTTTCAAGTTCATACGATTATCGTACAAATGGGTTCGAACCGTTTTGTTCAGTGATTACTGCGGTATTGACTATGGACATATCAAAATGACGCAAAAATCATTCAAATTTGGAACTGCTGATAATATTAAGTTTATTGCACTGTTCAGAAATATACATTTCCAAATTTTTTTTTGCAAATTTTATAACATTTCTCAACCCAAAATTTTTTTTCGCTCTCGTTTCGTTAATTCTTGTCTTAGAAAAGCAGTGATAATCATAACACCCTCGCGCACTGCACTCGAGAAACGGCTGGCACAGAAACTCGAAATACGATTTTTGCTTTCGAGTTGTGTTTAGACGAGGAAAGATTTTTTATATACTTTCGAAAATCGTATCTTCGAGACGAGAAACTCTCCATCTCAATGGGCCTTAATAATCGTATCTTGTTATGGCGATCAAAATCCATCATTGTGGCAACCTCTTTGATGTAAACTTCTCAGTAAGTGTAATGATGTATTGATCTCCTGTCTTATATGACGGAATAATTACCTGGAACATCCATGAATCCATGTTGGTAGTTCTATCTTTAGATAAGACATCTTATTAACTTCAGAGAAGGATACATAAGCCTAAAAAGGCGCTCGCTGATCCTATTAAGGCAAACTAGAAATGCGTAAGACGATATCACAAAACTCTAGAATTTTCTGCGTTGACAATAAAATAAATTTTGATAACGAATCAATTGAAACAAATGAAAAGATGCGTTGGATAATAAATGTCTGCGCACTAAAATTTCAGTTATATTACCATAGAGTAAGTTTTAGAAAACTGTAAACGCTATTAGACACATGTGCGCCGATCGGCGGTGTCGTCCCAAGGTTCTTAGGTACTGTTTGTAAAATAATTTGTATACCACTTCTATTGTTTTCAGTCATACGAGCAAGCTTTGACCGTTTTTTATTATTTTTGATGTAATATAATATCTCATTATTGGATTTTCCACCTAAACACAAATGCTCTTGATTTAAATCTAGTATGAATAGGCCGCACGTAAATATTGTATTGAAATATAGTGAATGGTTTTGCCACGCCGATTTTACTCCGGTTAAATTCATTGGCCGCGACAACGTGGAAAAACCGTCGGCGCCGAGGATACGGAGCACACAATCTAGTCCTATACCACAAATTACTTAAGCTATGTTAACTTGGTTTATTTGCTAGGAAACTCATTAGCTATTTAACGACTGTTTTATTACAGATTAATTGATTGATTCATTATAGGCTGGTACAATCACATGATGAAATAATTCCCGAAAAACTTACTGAAATTTCAAAATATTTTACTCGTTAAATACTGCCCACATTAACTATTCTTAATTCGGGGAAATATTTTGTTATTTGAATAATGTTCTATGGAAATCAAATAAAATTTTCGGAGCATGTATACGTATTAATGTACGTGACTGTACATACACTTACCTTAACAATGTTTTGTGGTTCCCAAAGTACTCTTATTACTACACACTACACAGTTTATGCAAAAAACAAACAAAATATTTTTTTTAAATTTAATTAATAATAATAATAAATTAAAATTTTTATTTCACAGATAAGCATTATTTATTACACTTGAAATCGTCACATTGGTTAAACTCTACCGCTCATTCGTAAGGCAGATTCCCTTGAGAATAATGAGCAAGAAACTCTAGGGGTATGCTATCGCGATTATTATAACGGTACGTATCTTAAAGTTAATTATCCTGCTTGGTTGGTCTCACATTTACTTTACAGGTTGTGATCACAAAGGTCGGATCTGGCAGGGAGCAAAAGCTGGTAAGGTAAATTGTATTTATGCATCTAGTTTGTTGTTATACCTCTAATTGGTAGAAAATTCGAATATAATTGATACAACATTCATTACGACAAACCAGTGGAATATTTTCACAAAAAAAAATATATTTTTTAAATGAACCTACTATGTCCCACTGCTGGGCAAAGGTCTCCCCCAAAATCCTCCATTGCTCCCTGTCTTTGGCGATCCCACCATTCTATCTCAAACCCATCAAGATCGTCCCGTCAACGCCTTCTCGGCTGTCCATGCAGTCTCTTTCTATCCTCGGGCACCCAAGGAGAGACGAAGTTCGCGCACGTCTCAGGTTACATCCGGTTAGCGTGCCCCCCCCCCCCCCTCCCAATACCATTTGAGCCTGGCTGTTTTGCTTCCCACATCAGTAATGCCTTTCATCTAACGCAGCATTGTACTGCGTACTCGGTCAATACGTTTAAAGCCCAGAATGCTGCGTTCCATCGCCCTATAAATAAATATTACAATTAATAAAGCGACATCTCTTATCAGCGGCTGGTAGCTGTAAAGGTATCCGGCTGGGTGAAAATTTTTTTATACTTTTCTCACAGGTGGCGCTACGGTAAAAAGCCGTTAAAACAAAATACAAAGGTCTACAGCAAGTACATAGAGAAATTCGTAAGGTCTGATGTCTGATGACTCGGTCCGTAGCTCTGTTGGAAGAGCGATAAACCGTATTAGGTGAAAAAGACGCTGGTTCGAGTCCAGCCGGACCTAAGGAATTTTTCTTCGAGTTTGTGAATAAAATAACTGCCTTTGTGGCCGAACGATTATCATGCTTGACTGCCACGCAGAGTTCCTGGATTCGATTCTCGGGCCGGGAGAAATATTTGTATAGCCCATATTTATTTCTCTCGTGAGTTTGGGTATAATTTTGCATTGTTGTGTTCATGCCACCCGCGATACAGGGATAACAAACATCTTTGTGTGCATTTCACAAAATATGTATAAATAAATATAGGCATCTAGCTTGTAAACTGGTTTTGGTAAATTTGTGTATATATGTTATAATTACAAAATTTCCATTTCTGTAGTTTCAGATTTTCTTTAGATTACATCCACAATATGAAAATGTTCAGGAGGAAGATTAAAAAGGCGAAAAAGCTTAAATATTTAGTTGTTGGATTAATAATTGTAGCTACAGTGTATTATTGTATGTATGGGTTAAATAAAACAATTAAAAGTTATTCGAATATAAAATATATATTACTGTGGGCACCTGCTGACAGGAACGAGTTATTCAAATATTTGGAACACGGTCAAAAGACATTCGACCAGAGAAAATGTCCAATTAGGAATTGTTACTTAACAGATAACAAAGCGCTTTTAAACAATGTAACAAAATATGACGTCATTGTATTTAATGGACCAGATATATTTGGTAATTACAACGTCTATCCACCACTAAGGGCGCCACATCAAAAATACATTTTTGCTAGTAGAACATCGTCGGAGTACTGTGAAGCACCAAGCAATAAAGATGGATATTTTAATTGGACTTGGACTTACAAAATTAATTCTGATATACCAATGGGATACATAACTATCAGGAATATATATGGTGATATCATTGGCCCAAAAGAAGAGATGCACTGGTTAAGCGTTGACGAAATGATGCCTGTAAATGACGAAGTTTTAGATATATTAGATCGCAAAACTACAGCAGTTGCGTGGATTAGCTCTAATTGTCACACTTTGTCGGAAAGGGAAAGATATATAAAAACTTTTAATGACGAATTATCTAAGTATGATTTAGTATTAGACATATACGGAAAATGTGGGAGCCTGTTATGTCCAAAATTTCTCATGCCTCATTGTTTATATACATTAGAGATGGATTATTACTTTTATTTAGCTTTTGAAAGCGCGTTTGGTGAGGACTACGTGACAGAGAGCATTTTGCATGGTCTGCAAAACTTTGCGGTGCCTATAGTCTACGGGGGCGCTAATTATACGAGGTAATACTAAATATTATAAAATAAATGAAGGAATAAAAAAAATAAAGGAAGGCAGAAGGTTGGGCAAAAGATCTACATTTTTCGATATACCCATCGAATGGTAACCACGTAACAGTTTCTGAACGAAGTTGCGGTTTTAAACAGGAATTTTTACTTTTAGGTACGCTAACGATCATATAAATAGATGCAAGACCACTAGGACCACTCAAAATGGCAACGTGGATACATTAGACTTGGAAAATGGTCAATTAAGCATATCGATTAGTGTTATTTCTCCTTGTTGTTTTAATACATTATTACGACCCGAAAAATTCAGCTAGTGACGGTTGTCCTTGAACAGAGTAACTATAAGCAACAGAACAGCTGCCATATTATTAGTCAGGTTTTCCAAAGGACTCAATACTCGACTGATGAATAATTTTCAGCAATTCCTAATTATAATTTACTAATAGAATAGAAAAGAATAGAATACCTATTCTATTCTAATTTACTAATACAACTGTTTTTACAGGTTTATGCCAGATGGGATGTACATTGATGCAACTAATATGAGTGTGGAGAAACTGGCTCAGGAAATAAGCGATATCATAGACGACGAAGAACGATATTACAAGTTTTTCAAGTGGCAAAATCATTACTCTTATCACTATCCTGAAAACGCTCCTGATTCTGATCCCATGTGCAAATTGTGTGAAGCTATAAATAACGAAACACTGATGAAAAAAAAGACAGTGATTGACGAGTTTCAAACATGGTGGAACGGGAATGACACTCTTTTACTGAATTGAAATCTTTATAAAAATTATGAAAGGAAGATGTGCCAGACATGTAAACTAAATTCTAGAGTTTTATTTTCAGATAGTACAAATAATAAACCTAAAGATGGCGCCTCAAAATATTCGGATCCATTTCGGATTAAGTATTAGTTGGAGTCATCCATTGAGAGTTTACGTAACAAAACAAAAATAACGTTATTACATTGTATTTTTTTATCAATAAAGTAATATAATGCATAAAATTCTTATTATAATAGCCTATCCTATTATATTCTATTATAATAGCCTACGTAACGCCATAAAATAATAACGTCACAAATAGCTAATGACATTTTTAAAATTTCACTGAATTAAAGAAGAACCAAAAGTTACAACAGTGGTATTGGGCAAAAGAAAATTTCTTTATAAGTGTCTTACACGAACTCCGTTATTAATAATTATGAGTTTAGTGAGGAACAAAATTTCAAACGCAAAAATTTTGCTCGTAAAGGTTTCACAAATAGCAAATTCTCAGTATTTATTATATGAAAGAATAAATTGAAAACAAACACCGAAAAAATATTGAACTGCCTTAAATGATAAAATTTCTTAACATAATAATAATAAACCTTTATTAGTATTATCGGAACTAATACAGAGAAATCATTGTCATTCAAGAATTCTTCTATTGTGAAATAGCATTTTTGTGTGAGGCATATAATTTATTATAAAAATCTTTTTCGTTTTCCTGAAGCATTATAGAATTATTGGAATCTTGTTGCATTGTAAGTTTGGGCAAAGGAAGTACCGGTTTATGTAGTTTGCGTTCACTTCTTATCGTGTTCCAAAAAGATTATATTTTTTTAACGAACATCGCTGTGTTAAGGGGTTAAAGTATGAAATTGCCGTTTTATTGCAATAGGTTCTTTGAATTTTCATAGAATTTTCATGGTTTGAGGTTTTCGAATGAAACTTTTTTCAAATGGTTTCTG